TTTTATATATATATATATATATATATATATATATATATATATATATATATATATAATTATATTCCTAATTTTGGGATTAAAAAAATCTTATTTTTGAAAATGGTAATATCACGGACCAATTCTACCTTGAGTAAACTAGTAACGTGACTAGGATTGGGTTTATTATTTAATAAGAATCGTTGGGGCTGAAAAAAATTTTAAAAATGTCTTAACCTAATTTTTGAACACGTTAGTTTATTAATATTGGGTATTTGGTTGTCTTTTGAACTATATTGAGCTACACGAGAATCTAAACGAGCCAATAAAGATGCATTTCTTGTGATTTCTTTTTCCGACTTAGAGTTATTTCATCCATAGGGACAAAAACAAAAAAAACAAAGTGGGAAGAAAAAGGTGTGGGGAAGAAAAGAAAAAAAAAAGAAAAATATGGTTTTTGTTTTTTAATTTTTTTATTTGGAGACCCATGAAATTTTGTCTGCTAAAATTAAAGAAACAAAAATGCTATACCCTACCATAATTGTGTTTATCCACCACACTAAATCCATTTTTATTTATATAAAAAAGGTATTTTGGTTCTACTTAAATCAATTTATATTTTCTATTTTGTTTTTAATTCAATAGAATATGAAATTAATGTATTAAATTACTTTTCATTAATAAATTGGATTCCGCATGAAGTTGATAATTTTATAATGCGTTTTATCCATGGAAGTAATTGGAATTAATATATTAAAATGCAATGGCCTAATTGTGAGACTATGAATGGTGGGTAGATAAAGCTTTTGTTGAAAAATTAAATAAAAAAAAAGAAATTTAAAATATTGATTATAAGAAATGTGATTTATTGGGCGAATAAAATGATTTCACCCAACGACCCATAATTTGTCCAATTCCGACGGATTGACACCCACTCCTAATCAATCTCTATCGCCATCTTTCCATGGACCCACATTCCTCTCTAAAACTAATAAATTAAAAAATTCAATAAAATAAATCACTTTTATAAAATAAAATTATTACTTGAGAAAATTACTCAAATATATATAATAAAAATTTGATATGCATATATTTATTAGATTATATTTTCAATATATACCGCGTTTGTAAGTAATAATACAAATTTTAGCCAATATTCCTCATTGTATTTTTTCTCTTCTGTTTTTTGTGTTCATCTTAATCGAGTGTGTGCGTTGTTGAGCGACCTAACAATTGGTAACAGAGTTAACAACTAGTATCGATCCTAACAACATATGCTTACGACATCATTGTCCTTGGGACAAATTAGATATGACTCGTCCTCTTCAATTGAAATATTTGAGAGAGATAACCGAGCACCACATAATGAAGAACCTTCTAACTAAAACTCCCAAACTAGAGATGGAATTTCATAACCTATACAATCCAAACAATTTATATCTAATGCGTCAATCAGTTTTGAGCCTATATTAAAAATAAAAAATAAAAACGTATTTTGAAAATTAAGGAGAGCAGAATATTGGCCATGTTGTGTACCGATAAAGATGATAAGGAAGAACCTTGGAATTTGATTGAAGGACCACAGTTTCCTGTAGGAATAATAAATAATAGTAATAAACAAATTATGCCGAAAAGGAATAACAATCCTTATTCCCAAACACAAACTTTTTCTTTATTTTATGCTGTAAAATAATAGTAGTACACATTAAAGGTATGCTGTACACGAAAGGGATTTTGTATACCTTAGTCTACAAAGTTCGAATCATCCAAGGACTTCTAACACAAACTTCCATTCAAATATTGATCCAAAGATGATAAGGAAGAACCCTGGATGCATAAAGAAGCTATCAAGCAAATCAATCAAGACGACAACAGGAATGTGTTACTTCATAAACATTCAATTCAACGTGATGAAACATAGAAATAAACATTGAATCAAATCATATATTATTCAACACAGTGCAGTCTGCAAAGTACTGACTGATCCATACAAAGGAAAGGATTCATCTCCATAATACACATGCAGTTTGAGCCGTTTCCAGGCACCACAAAAAGAATAACATAATTTAGAGTTTCTTACTGCAACCTTTATGATCAAGACGTTCAATTTTTCACGGTTGTCACATGCTTCAGGAGCATGTCCACGACATCGTATGAAATTCTAGCACACTCTTCTTTCAGGTGCGCAATCTTTGCATCTGTCTCGACTTCAAGCCGCTTAACATTAGCTCCTGAATCTCCGCTACTCTATATGACCAAAAATGATAGTGAGATGGGGGAAGCAAGAAGGGCAGAGTTAGCAACTATATATATATATATTTTTTATGAGAAACTATGATTCCTTCATTTCACTGATAGTATGAACAAAAGAAGGCAACCCCTGTCCCAAATGGGATAGCAGATATATTCTGGAAGACCCCAAAGGAAAAGAAGTTAGCAGATATATTAACATCTCAGGATGGCTTTTTTCACAGCAAGAGAAAATTTTAAGTGCATAATATAATTAAATACCAACCTCAGAGAGTTTTCTTTGGAACTCAGCCTCCACTTGGGCACGGTAAGCAGCAATTTCCTTTTCAGCCTCTTCTTTGGCTTGTTTCAGTCTGGCCAATTTTGCTAAAAAAAACAGGAAAACCAAAGTCATTGAGTTATAGATTATGTTCAACTTCATAAAGCAACAATAAAAAAGTAAATCGATAGCAGTAAAAGAGAAGATGATGGTCCTTGTAAACTCGTGTCAAGCAAATTATGAACTGAACCTACATGCTTCCAGGAACTAGTTGAACCAAATTACAAATTTACATGCATATGAATGTTAAAAAGTATATAACAAAACCAAAATAAAAGAGTCAGTTTACCATTTCTGGCAGCATTGACAATGTGTTGAGCTTCTTGCTCTGCTGCAAGCAATTGTTGGATACCACCTTGACCCCTAGTTGCCATATTCTCCTACAAAAAGAAGATGTTTTTTTATACAAGTAAAAGAAGGGCCTGCTCAGGTAAAAACAATCTCAGCAGAAACTACGTTGCTAAATGTCGTTGCAGATATTATCATGATTAATTGAATCAAACCTTTTTTTTTAGTTCAATATGTGGGGGTGGGGATCCAAATGTCTAACTTTTTGGTTGACCATAAACTATGTTTAGGCTGACTCGGACCAATTTCTAAACCGAAGTCTTAGCAGTTAAAGTTGTAATGAACTATCGTATCGCAAGAGCAGCTCATAGAGTTATTCAACAAATAAGATGATTTAATACTTGTAAGAATACAGCACAGCCTCCATAAAAGCCATGAGGCCTGTGCCTTGCTCTTAGAAATCAAAGAAGCCATAAATCTTGAAGCTTAGAAGTTGCTGCCTCAAAGTGTCATTCCAACCCTCGTTTAACGAATCATCATGGTTTCCGATGCAAATAAGTATTTGCGGCTGGTTTCATTTTGTGCATTATTTTAGAGTTATTTCAACAAATATAGTCTTTATATCATAATGACGCAGTTCAAAACTAATCTATAGAAAAAATGTTTTTTCTCCTTAACACTCTAATTTTAGTCCAAACTCCTAGTCTTTCGTAGTTTTATCATTAACTACCTAGGAGGAAAAGTACAAGAAAATAATTGAATTTTCCTCACCTTCAGTTTCAAACCTAGTCAGCTTAGAGATCTCATGCACCAGAACATAAAACAACCTTGTCTCGAATGCTTCTCATAACCTAAACCCAAAACCTAGTTCACCAAAAGTTTCTTCAACTACGAATCATAGACAAGAGTTTCAGTTGCTTATATAGCAAATCGTAAATCAATTGTGTGCGTCAAAAGTAAGACCGAGAACTGAAAACCTATAAATTCCCTCGATCAAATGAATCTTAAGTTTCAAATTCTGAAATCCAACACTTAATTACACTTGCAAGCAGCAGAATTCATAACTCGGCGGGAGTCGACGCAGATCGATTAAGCGTATAAGCCTATGTTTCTTGATTATTCACGGTCCAAATCTAAGATAACAAATAGATCTAGAAAATTTCTGCTATCTATCCAAACCGAACAGGAAACACAAGACAAAAGGATTCGACAACAAAGATCTCGTCAGTAACCACTGTCTAGCAGCCGCACACCAAATTCGGCGGACAAAAAGTAAAATACGCGCGCGCGCAGTTGCCGGTAAATGAAGTAGAAGAATCAATCGGACAGAGCAGAATAACAAATCACTGAACAAGATCAAGCAATCATAGATTGAAATTCCAGAATAGCGGATCGTCAAAAGAATAGTAGTTAGAGAGAGAGAGAGAGAGAGAGAGGAAGCGAATGTGATCTGTACCTGTAGATAGAGATTGCCGGGTGCGAAGAAACTGGAAGATTCCGACGGAATCGCGACTGCCCTTTAAACCGATGGGTCGAAGGAAAAACGTCTTCGATGGAGTGGGAATTTCCTATTTATGGGATAAATTACCAATTTGCCTATGAAATTATAAGATTTTATTTTTTTAGTAAATATTTATATTTTAAATGCCGGTTATTTATTTATTTATTTATTTTGTTATTGATCGATAATCTTTTAAAATATTAAATATATTTTTTAGATCTATTTAATATGCTCTTGACTAAGACTTCCATCTAATAAGATCCTAAAATTTATTTATTTTTAAATAAATCCATTTTTTTCATCTAATAGATTCCAAGCTATTAATTTTTTTTTAATCTTTAGACACTTATTTAATACAAATTTAAAATTGTAAGGTTAAACTAGTAATTTAATTCTTTAAAACTTAATAAATCTTTTAAATATTATGTTAAAGTTAAAATTTTATTTTAAATACAATTTTTTTAAAAAAAATTAAAAGTATATTATACACAAAATTAAAATTTTAGAGCCTATTAGACTTACTAATAATTAAATAAATATCAGACAGCCATAATTACAATATATATATATATATTAAATACAAAGAATCCTCTTATATAAAATTGTGTTCTCCCTATAAAAATTTGAAAACTAATTATTTCTTATTTTAAAAAAAAATAAAAAAAAGTTTAAAAAAAAAAAACCGCCTCTTGGTTCGGTTTATTCCTATCTCCTACTTATCAAAAATAGATTGGTTGTGGTGTGTTGTGTCAATAACTTTAGTGGCGAGTTGGTGGGGTGCTTCTGAAGGATCCAATTGCTTTCACGGCGGAGGCTCGAAGAACATACTGGTAATACATCGTAGCAATGGTTGCTCCGATCAGCGGCCCGACCCAGAAGATCCACTGCAATTTACAATCACAATCAAATCTCTAATTCGTTGCAAAAAAAACGTGAAATCAAGAAGGGATTTCTTCAAAACTGGACACATACATGATCTTTCCAAATTTCTTTATCGTTGATGATCACGGCGGCGCCGAAGCTTCGAGCTGGATTGATGCCAGTGCCAGTGATCGGAATTGTAGCGAGATGAACCATGAAAACAGTGAACCCAATGGGGAGTGGAGCCAGCACAGGAACGTAGGAATCTCGGGCGTTGCGTTTGGGATCGGTGGCGGAGAAGACGGTGTAGAGAAGGACGAAGGTGCCGACGATCTCGACGGCGAGACCGGTGCCCTTGCTGTAGCCGTCGACGAGCTGGTTGGCGGCACCGCCATAGTGGTTGTAGCGATCTCTCTGTAGTGACTTGACTAAGGCGCAGCCGCATAACGCCCCCAAGCACTGAGCTATAATGTAGAGCAAGGCGCGAATCAACGATATCTTTCTCCCCAGAAACATTCCGAATGTCACCGCCGGGTTTATGTGTCCTCCTGCACACCCAACCGGTTAATTTTCTGGGTTTTGAAAATTGGGGGAAAATGAAGAGAAGGGAATTACCAGAGATGCCGGCGGTGCAGTAAACGAGAACGAAGATCATACCGCCGAAGACCCAGGCGATTCCGAGGGTGCCAACTCCGCCGCAGAGGTTACCGCCGATGATTGGATCGGTCTGGGTTTTATTACCGATGACCGTCAAAACGACGACGTAGAGAAACAAAAGAGTGGCGACAAACTCGGCGATTATGGCTCTGTAAAAGGACCATTTGGCCAACTCCTCCATATCGATCATTGGCGCCGGAAGCGGCTCGAAATAGTCCTTCCTCGGAAGGGACCCCCGAGATCCGACTTCGATGTCGTTATTCGCCATTGGAGCAGAGAGAAAGTGAGCTTAGATGAGTGAATGTGAGCTCCGATTGAGAAAGATGGATTTGAATTTGGAAATTGGAATTTGGTTCGACACTTTATGGGGCATGCAAAGAGTTGTTAATCCACATCTATGTTAAGGGATTTGTGGTTGGTTCCTCCGTTTCAAATGACCACAAAACCTTTCAACTCCGAATTTAGTCGTAGGGCTTAGGAGAAGAGCCATTTTCAACGAGCCATTTACTCCTAATTTACTTTTTTTTTTTTTTTTTTAAAAAAAAATTGGTTTATTTATTCATTCTAATCACACACACAAAAAATATAAAAATACTTTGCATTTTAAATTTAAAATTATATCAATATTTTAAAAACTTACAACAGCTCGAGGGCGAGACCTTCATAAAAAAATACATGAGGGTGAGATTGCTTATGCATTGGCAAAAGGGATAGTAGATATAACATAAGATCATGTACATAAAAATGTTATATTAACATTCGACATTAATTACTAATATGCAATTAAAATAATATATTAGTTCGGTAAATTTAATTTATATCATCGAAACTACTACCACTCGGACAATAATCAAATTGGTAATTGGTGTAGAGAGTAACCGGTGGGAGTTTTGGACGAACTTTGTTCATCTACAAACTCAAATCAATAATCATGATCTAAGCTAGGGATTTGCCTTTTCTATTCAGTCCTATGAATTGGATCAAAAACAATTCTTGAATGAGGCATTCAACTCCAAGGGTGGATCGAAAAAGAAAAATGATAAAAAAAAACAAGAGAAGGGTCTAGACCTCCATCGAGAATGATTAGGAAGATCCAAACTAAAAATAGTGGTCATTGTTAGCAACAAGATCATGGAGGCAGTCAATCAATATAAATTGATCCGAAATCTTGTTCAATTCTAATATAACACCTAAGGGTACATAAGAAATGTATTGAATCGATTCTTTTTAATGAATAGATCCGAGACAGCTCCGAGACCAACAGGCAACGATCGGAGGACACTAAAAAACACATGATTCTATCATCAAACACAGAGAAGTGATAGCTCTCCCTGCTGATGAATGCATATCAGTAAGAAACAAATGAGTACGAAAGGGGCTTTCCAGGCAGGCTGCAAATCATCTTCAAGTTGGGTAATTCTAGTATAATGTCGGGGCTTGGGGCAACTAGAGAGCATGATAGGAGATACAGCAACCAGTATTCAAAAGCCTAATCAAATTCCTCCAACTTATTGTTCATGAGACTATTGCTAATAAAATCAAAATCTTGAAACAATACTATTTTAGAGTTCATAAGAGATCCTAGAAATACTCATAAAGATAAATACGAGCAATTTCTGGGCAGGAGAAAACAAACATATGTCCAATAAAGATGAAATTTATATCCAGTTTCCATGAACAGAAATAAAGCTTTGATATTCATTGCCATAATCCAATTAAAGCTTTTTAAATAAAAACCAACAAAAAAACGCAGATAAACAAGAGATAGAAGAACCATGCTAAACTCATGTTAAATAGCAAAACTGATCAAACAAAGTTGTGGTAAATTCAATCTCTCATGCTAAAGTAATGGCCAAAGAAACTGTTACTCTCAATCTTGGGGCACTTCAACGTCGCCATCGTTAATCTCCTGTTGAAGATCCTTAGGGTCCTTGCCATCAACAGTACAACCAACAGACACGCAAGTTCCAAGGATCTCCTTGACGGAGCCAGAGAGGTCCTTAGCCATCGATCTAGGCCGCATAACCCTAGCAATTTCAATCACATCATCAAGAGAAATGTTGCCATTATGCTTGATATTCTTAGTCTTCTTCCGGTCACGCTCCGGCTCCTTCAACGCCTTAATTACCAAAGCCGCCGCCGAAGGAACAACGGAGACCTTCGCCTGACGATTTTGGACAGTGAGCTTTACAGTAACTCTAAGACCTTTCCATTCCTTTGCGGTCTCTTTAGCAATGTCTTCTCCAATCTTCTTAGGAGAAAGACCGAGAGGACCAATCTTCGGAGCAAGAGAACTGGCTGCTCCAACCTCACCTCCGGTGACGCGAACGAAAACATCCACCACCTGACTAGGGTCAAACTTCGGAGGCATGATTCCGCGTCGTGAAGGTCAGTAGATTCGAGAGATTCCACAGAAGGAAGGACAACCACTGGTTAACCTAACACAGCGGCGAGGCTTTCACTTGATTTATGCTAGAGTTTTCGATACAGCGACGACGTGTCGGCCCACGGAAACTTCAAAACCCTAATCTGCAGGTTTTGGATTTCATCCCGATGTGTCGGCCCAATAGAAAATTGGCCTACTTTTGGATTTCATCCCCTCCTAAACCCACAGCCCATTTTCTCCATTTCTCCTGACCCGTTTTCTTTTTTAATTATTATTTATTAAAATCTATACTTTTAAAATTTTCAATTTAGTCCCTGTATTTTAATATATTTACCGTTGTTCTATTATATATTAGCCCACTAGAATAATTTTATATTTTTTTTTATTGTCGATTTTAATATAGTTCAACTTATAGTAATCATAATTAAATAGTGAAAAAAATATTAGCTAATTTTTTTTATTTAAAAAAGGCATAATTTATTAATAAAGATAATTGGAAAATTTAATTAGGTAAAATGACAAGAAAGCCCAACATCATTAATCGTCAATTTCCAAGAGTTGACATATGCTAAACAATGCTTGAAAAAATGGCAATTTTGAAAATGACTAATTAATAATTTAATATCTAATCCATAAGTTTTTTTTTCTTATAAGGAAAGTTAATATCTAAGATTATTGGTCACAAAAATAATATTATATAAAATACTCATTTTATTTTAGATTTTGTATTATTATTATTTTAGTTTATATATTTTTAATTTTTAAAATTGTCCCAGAACTTCGTCATTTGATAAAAATGCCCTTAAGGGTATTATTGTAATTTTTTAAGAATATTATATTAAAATTATTTAAATATTTAATAATGTTTATGAAAAATAATAATGTCAAACACACGAAAAGCTACTACTATTGTCATTTTAAATTAAATAAGATGTCAAACTCTAAATATGAAAGGATTTGATATACATACTTTTCAACCACGAAAATAATCAATTAAAAAAAGAAAGATTATTCTCGATCTTTTTAAAATATTTTAAAATCCGTACAAAAAAAATAAACTTATCCACCACACGCTTCTTAAAAAAATAAATATAAATATGATAAGAATAATAACATTGATTTTTTATTTTTTATTTTTTGGAAAATAATTAACCTTATCCAGTTAATGTACGAAAAATGTGCTAAAATTAAAATATGCATTTTCTGTAAATAAAATAATACAATTAAACAAATTAATTGACTAAAATAAATAAAATAGGCAAAGAAAAAGAAAACAGCGGTAAAAGTACGGTACAATTCTATTTTTTCACGTATCCTACTTTTTGTACACCCGTGCCCTCTCCCTTCACCATCACCGTCTGATGTTCATATTTAATTCAACTTGACATCATGTCAACGTACTTGATTTGGACACGTGGTCCGATGACATTACTTATCCGTACTACGTAATGCACTGAATCTTCGCTCGACAGCCGTTTGCGAAAAACCGTGCACGTCAACTTTGTGGAGTTTCGTACGCCACGTGTCTTGCCCTTGACGACGAAGATTTTTATTGGCTTAAATTCTTGCACTTTTAATTTATTAATTTATTGATGGTTAAATATGGAAGTGATAAATAATTTCACTTTTATTTCAGATAATTATTAAGAGGAATTATATTTTTATTTTAAAAATTACAACATTATCTTAATCTTACCTAAATGTTTCAAAATTAGCGTTTAGTATAAAATTGATGTGGCAATAATATCAACACAATACTTGAAATTTAATAATTATTTTGTTAATATAAATATTTTCATTATTATATTAATATTTAACGACATATTTATTTATATTATTTTTTGTTATTTTATTTGTAGAATTTGGACCATTAAATTTACAAAACCTCGAGTAACATGTTTATAATAAACCACAATATTGGTGCGACTGCAGAGAGAACGGGTGTAGACAATAATTTCCCCTTTTTTTCTTTTTTTTCTTATTTTATGATAGGGAAATGATTGGTACACGTGTCGATGTGCTATTAATTATATTAAAAAATTCGTCGTTATCTTCTATTGCACCAATCATGCGATGCAGGATGGTGGGGCCATTGAAATTAAGAAATTTATATAAATAATTTAAATTTTGTCCGACTCGTCGTTTATCTGGATGTTGAAAATTAAACTCGATTGTCGGTCGTGTTGTCTGCGGTAAAAGAGGTTTTAAAATCCGTCTACTAAAAATAGTTTTTACACACTTATAAACAATGTTTTGTTCTTTTCTTCAAACTAATGTTGAAATCTCACAAATATCGAAGCTTTTAATAATGTCAGTATTTTTTTACATTAATGATGAAATTACCAACTTTTCACGTGAGACAATTATAATATATTGTCTTCGTTGACCGATATTTTAGTATAGAAATGTAGTATAAAGCACCTTTTCGATGAGTTTTTTGAGTGTCGTGTTTAACCACACGAACAATGTTACTTGCTCAAGTTGCTTACTAAGCTGGATAAACATGGCTATCCATAGTTTTCACATGATGCTCACCTTTTTGTCTTCCAAAAAATTCATTCCTAACGCTATCCTTATATGAAATAAAATAACAAATTAAACCAACAAAAACACAAATCATCTCAATCCAATTTTTATTTTCATATAACCAATTATTTTTAAAAAATTAAATTTTATTTCTAAACTCGTCTAGCTATATTAAAATTTTGTCAAAAAAAAAAAATTAATTATAAAATTTTAGTAAAATTATTTAATAATTAAAAATTAAAAAGATAAATAGAGGTTAAATTGGAATAGTCAACATAGCGGATAGTCAAATATGAGGGCGAGTGTACACTAAAACAATGAGGTCGGCCGTATTCTATAATAGTCTCTATGTTTTTTTTTTTTTTAATAAAAAAATTTAAAATGTTCGTACGCGGAGCAAAGAAGGGAGGGGTTCGAAGCGTGAACTTATCCATTAAATCCATTATAAAACTGGTGGGACTTTGATTCCCTTGGAGTAGTTGAAATTCAATTCAATCAACAGAGAAGAAAAAGAAGATCCAGAAACTCGAAAGCTTCCATCCATTTTCAATGGCGTCAAGGAGAGGCTTAGCCTTCGGATTCGGTTTCCATTCCAAACCTAACTACATCTATCCGGCGTCGGAGCCACCCGCCGTTCTCCGTCCTGAATCTTCTGCCGACAACCTCTTCGACTTCAACGAGGCGGATATCTGGACGTCTGCCCAAACTCCGCCGATAGAATCAAGGAAGATCTTCCCGATCTCGAAGAAACTGCCGAAGAGAAGTAGCGCTGCGGCGGAGAAGACGGTGAAGGCGTCGTCGTCATTGCCTGTCAACATTCCGGACTGGTCGAAGATCCTCCAGAGCGATCAGAGCAAACACGGCCGGCGAGAAGCAGCGGAGGAGGATTTTGACGATAGCGACGACGACGACGACGATATGTGGCGGGCGCCGCCGCATGAGTATTTGGCGCGACGGCGAGGCGAATCGTTTTCGGTTCACGAAGGGATCGGAAGGACGCTGAAGGGCAGAGATTTGAGAATGGTGAGAAATGCAATTTGGGAAAAAACTGGGTTCGAAGATTAATTCAAATTTAATTTTTAGTTAGCGTCCGTATAATTAATAATATAATCAGTACCGGAAATTATACTCAGAATAATTATTAGAGAATTTTGATGAAGTAAATTAATGTAATTTTTCCATAATTTATCTTCATTTTTATTTTTTTTTCTTTTTGGTTATTTGTGATTATCTGTATTGGAAACAGTGAATTTTTTGTGATTCCAAATCTGGAAACTTCCATTAAACATAATTATCTCAAGTTTAAATACTTAAATTCGGATGCTTAACGACTAAGCAACCCATTTAGTATTAAATTATAATTATTAAAGCAATTTAATTGCTTAGAATTTTGTTGGGTCTAATTGAAGAAAAATAGATTAATTAAATTTTTTTAATTAATTGAAATGGGAGTCGGTGAGAAAGCAATGGACAAGCTAGAGCAATTCTTTGATTAAAATAATTAATATCTTTTCTTGCTTGCCCAATCAAGTTATTCTCTTTTATTAAAATTTATTTTTAGAATTTTCTAATTATTTTAATTCTATCAATTTATCAATATATTTAAAGTAATAAGAATTTTCCATAAATGTATTTAAAATAAATTTTCATAAAGGGTTAGAAACGCGTAATTATTTGGACACAGTATCCTCATTTACTCCTATAAACCGAACAACGAACTCTCTCAAGTAAAAGCTGGTAGCTAACCATGGATCAAGATCGAGGAAATACGATCATCATATTAAAAATATTATGATTATGAATTGAGATTTATAAAAAGATATTAAATATCGTTGTTTTGTCTTTTATACAAATTCGTCATATAAAATATCTTCATTCACGTGTTTTGACATAAACGATTTAGACTAAATAATTTGTAAGTGTTACAAAGTGAGACGTATATATTACAGACAGTTTGGTTATTTATCGGACATTATCACAGTTAAAAATTACACTAATAACCTTTTATGCCACATATAATAAAAATGGTAATAAAAGATATTAAAAAAAATAATTATATTTATAAAATTGTAATAAAAAAAGTTTCACCTATGAATATAAATGGTGAGAATATGATATATAATTTAGTTTGAAAGTTGGCACTAAAGGGGAACAAGTGGGGCCATAGAGAATAGTTCGTAATTGGAAGCAGCCAGAATATTGCTCCTCTAGTGGAATAAGATATTCCTGTCCGGAATAAGAATCCACATGGAGATTTGGAAACGTGAAAAAGCATCCAAACACTCCCGGAAAAAAAGTGGGAAAAGAGAGAAGAAAGGGATAATGGGAATAATATGCAAATAAAAAAGGAAAAAAAAATGATTCAATAAATCCACATAATAAAAAATATTTAAGAGTTTCACAATTTCATAATTAATTTAATAAAAAAAATTTGAGTTGGTGTAAAATAGTTATCAAAAGTTCGTGATGAATGGTCGTGTATCATAGAATTATAATATACATAAAGTCACCTCCGTAATTTTTATAAACTTTACGGATACGAGAATAACGATAAATTAGTCGATTGAAATACAATAAAAAAATTGAATATATGGTACGTCTAACATCGACCTATTTTAATAATTTAACCATCATATTTAAATATCCGACTAGAATTAAATTTAACAATATATTTACAATTATTTTTTACTAAAATTTTTATTAAACGGTTTAAAAATAGTTTTATTTTTTCTTAATTAATTAAGATTGAGATAGATATTAAAATATATTATAGTAAATTTAAATTATATTATAGTTTTTTTTTTTTTTTAAACAAGCGGTTAGGGAGTCGTTATAACTTGGCAGTTGGCCGTTTTATATTTCACAATTAATACTAAAATATTAAATTCGAAATAATTAAGTATTGACAAAAAATGAAAATTGGGCCTTAGTGGGCCGGGTTAGACATTTGAGCCCAATCATGATGGGCTAACCGCACTAAAGTCTGCCTTCAGAGAGAGGTTTCCTCCGGCCTTCACCTTCGAGGTTGTCGCCGTCAATTGATCGGTCATTGACCTTACAGAGAGGGACATGGGGAGAAATCAGAAGCAAATCTTGGTAGGTTTGGCTGCGGCGATGGTCTTAGGATTGGTGGTGTACATGAGACTTTGGATCATAGACTATTCCATGTCTACCGATGAAGCCGAACTGCTCAGGTCTGGATCTTACATTTTGGTTTGTTTTTCTCGTTTTGTAGGCTATGATTACGGAAATTTGTATGAAAAATTTAGGAAATGGTACCGGTTGAAATGTGAAATGTAGTAAGATTATTATATCGGTTAGATTTAAATTGATCGTTAATGGATTATTTAGGAGGCAGTTCGACCTTGCGAACCGGGAGGCAATGGATGAATCTGCGGAATGGCGTCGTATGTATGATCACGAACTAGACAGAGCCAATAGTTGTAACAGTGAGCTAAATAAGGTCAGTATCTTTAGGGTTAAGTTTCCGTGAAGATCGATAAATCCAGTGGAGTTTTTTCCTCACTGCATTGAATTTATGTTTTGGCATGATTTGTTTATTACTTTTCTGAGACCTGTTGTTTGAGGGGGGTATGCTTGAATTCTGTTTATTACTGTTGCTGCTCCTATGATCTACGGATTGTCAATCAAAAGATTCATAACATTCTTGCATTGCCAACCGGCAAAGAACTTGTTAAATGTGAAATTAGAAATGCTTGTGTATGGAACAAGTAACTCTCTGTTCTTGGCAGTGAATGATGAATACTTTCTCATATTGTTGATCTCTTATTTGCATTACGTTGCTGTTTCAAGTAACTGGTTTAAGTGACATATTAGCTTAAGTTTTTGATTTTAAGATAATTTAACATAGTACTAGAGCACGAAGGTTTGCATTCAAACCTTGTCATATGATTTTCTTTCCCATTAATAATGATAGTCACTCGTTGATTCTCACCCAATTTTGAAATCTTCGAGTGAGAAATGTTAAAAAGAGTATGTGAAAGATTAAATATTTCGTAACCCGTTGATTTGAACTTTCGAGTTTAGGGATTATTTAACAAACCCCACGTGGTAGAAAGTTTCTTTTTGTATGTATTTGATGATCACTGATCAAGCTCTATATGATTTACAGCTTAAGGAATCTTTTGAGAAGGTAGGGGATGTTGCTAGAATCAATCAGAAGTTGACAAATTTGCAAGAGGTAACTCCTTGATGTAACTATATAGTTATCAAGTTTCGAGTATCTTAACTGAGTAGTAAGTTGAGTACTTAATCTTTCCTTCAAAAACTTAGGAAATGACTTGAGAAATCCTTGCAGAATATCGCAAAGAAATGCTATCGTTCGTCTCGAGAACTAAAATTTGTCTTGTATCTGTATGTATATATGGTTTTGACCCCTTAAACATGTCTGTAATTTTCAGGAAAACGCTGCTCTCCGTAAAGAAGTGGATGCCTTACAGCCAAGGCTAGAGGCCGAGAAGTCAAGGTGTGGCTCTCAGTAGAGCTTGTCAACAAACACCGTAAAGAATACTAATACCGAATTTGAATTCTAAAATGTCTATAACAAAAGTTGCTGGGCATGGCTTGTGATGGGAAGTAGAACTAAGTACTAAACCAAATGATGAACTTATGAAGGTCAATGCATATTTCTCTTTGTTATCGGCAAATAATGAAAGGGTTTACCTGGATACTAGAGGAGAGGCGATTCTGCAATTCCATGAGACCACTGACTTTCTCTTGCTTTTAATGTAGCGTGCTAAAGCGGACAATATCTGCTAGTGATGGGTTGTTACACTTAAGCTCAACAAAGTTAAGGGGAAAGGCTTCTGTTTATTCTGATGGATTGTTAAGATCCTCAAGTTTCGAGTAAGGTTGTCCGATAATTAGATTCTCAAGTCTCAAACGGGCATGGGAATGTTTGGTAGAGGGATTACAGGAAAGAAAAGCTGTGAAATAAAGGTAACAAAGAGGGACGTTTCTTTTTCTTGAATCAAGTGTATGTAATATAAGTTTAGCCATAGAATATTTCTTATAATTTGGAACTTAGGTTTTACCCTTAAAATTCAATTTGAAATTCTGTTCAAATTAGACTATGAAAATTCTTTTGAAGATCTTTGTTTTTGTTTCTTGGAGTAACTTATATTTTGAAGGATTAAATTCAAAAGGAAACAGCCCGCAGTTAAAAAGTTTTTACTGTTCTCGAAGTGATTAATGATTTTGAGATAGTTAATTGGGCAATGTAATTAGAATAATTTTATATATGAATTATAAATATGGAGTGGAGGATTAAACCATTAATTAACATTAATCACTGTAACTTATAACTAAAATTAGAAACATGTTAATTAATCACTGTAACTTATAACTAAAATTAGAAACAGTCTAGTAGCAGTTAGATTAAATTTCTTTCCCTCCATGGTTAGAAGTAAGTGTAATATATATTTTTTAATTATTTGATAAAATCAAAAGACTAAATTATATATATATATAACCTTATAAATTTTGTTTTTATGTTGTATAAATGTTCAAAAATACATAGAAAACAATAATTTGATTTCAAAATCTATTTTATTGCATAAAATCAAATTATTGTTTCATAGATAATTTTTTTTAAAAAAATTAAATTAAATTGTATTATTGATATTTATTTTTAGTTAGAAATTCAAAATTTTAAGGTTTTTCATAGTATAAAGTGGGGTCTTATTAAAAAGTTTTATGTGATTAAATTGGTCAATGTGAAATTATGTTGAAATTAAATTGAAAAAAAAAAAAAAAAAGAGGATATAAAGACGACATGTCGTAAATGTGGGTGGGAGAGTCTTAGTAAAGCGCAAATGTAGAAGAGGAGGAGGAGGAGCCATTGGAAGCGCTCCATTTTGATTTTGACTCTCACTTCTGTTCTTTGTTTGCTTTAGACTCGCTACCTTCCATCGAAACATCTTCACGATCATCTAGGAATGTTCCCATTTCTTACATTCTCCTCCTCCACATTTTCCGCCATTTTCCTCCATTTTCCTCTTCCCCATTTCTCTCCATGTTTTAACCCTTCTCTTCCCATCGCCATCCATGCCCACCATGAAATTAGGCATCAAATCGGAAGCATTTCATCGCGACGGCCAAACCTGGTAACTCCTTTTTGTTATTTCCATTCCAGATCACGATCTGGATTACACAACCTTCATTCTGTTTATTATGATTTTGTAATAATGCCGATTCATATGGTTTACAATTTCACTCTCTGTTTCTGTTAAATGATTACTCTGTATTTTAGTACTCGTTGTATGATTGAGATTGTATCGTCTGGTGTTCGTTAGGCTTTGCTCAAGTGGATTACCTAGCGATGTTGCGGTTGAAGTTGGAGATATGTCTTTTCATCTTCATAAGGTCTGTTTGTTTTTCGTATTGTATGAGTTTTCAATTGAATGAACAGATTGAATTTGTTTTTTTTTTTTTTTTTTTT